GAATCCCCTGCAGAGTCCCCACGGACTATCATGAACTTCATGAGAGGAACTGTTCATTCAGCCGAGACCATCCATAGGCAATATCTTGCTTTACGAGAAAAAGACACGAAAGTTATGGATGATCTATGCAAGAAGGTCGATTTTCTGATAGCAGCACAATCTAAACCTCGATCTCCACCTCCAGCACAGCCTCAACCGCAGCAACAAAGCCAATCAGATCACAAGCTCCTTGAGCGAATGACAAAGAAACTTTATGATCTCGAAGCTTCTTTGAACAAAGTTGCGCGACAACAGCACGAAATCAAACACTCTCATTTTGGTCTCAAAGAGCGTGTGGATTTGGCCTGTACAAAGATTGACACATATCAGGACAATTCGTACCAACTGGGTGAATATGCACTTCAAATTCTCGGGTATGCTCAGGATATCTTGCTTGCAATCAACAAGGTCTCCTCCATTCCTTCTACCACCTGTGCTGATGATGCCAAAAAGGGGGAAAAGAGAGATGATGACAAAGATAAGGATGATGATTAGCCGAGAGATAGCACGAAAGATCAAGCTCGTGAAGCACGACACTCTCCCTCTCGGACACCAAGAGACTATGACCAAAGGAACACGAATCCATCTCATCCACCTTCCAAGTCTCGTGGTTACCACTCCTCGAAGTCAAGATATCATGGTCGATACCAATCCTCCAAACAAATTAAGCCTCGACAATCATTTGGTTCTGAAGCCAAATACATCTTCACAGGACTGCCAAAGAGAGAACAGACGAAATTAAGGCAGAAACTTATGAGAGACAACAAAGTAACTATGGATGGCATAGGAAACTTTGTGGACTTCGTCCCATATGAAGAAGGCAGTGGCAAACGATTCGAGGGTTGCAATAATCCCATTTGGTTGAAAACAAAAGACAATTATACAAGACAAAAGCACATGAGCACTCAAAATGAGAGAATCAAAAGAGCAAACAAAGAACTGTGGAGGAAGCACGATGAAGAAAGAAAGAGAAGAGAAGATGAAGCAATGGAAAGAGAAAGGATCAGGAATCTCATTGAAGACCTTTCTAATGTAACCAAAGACTCCCCACAAAATGTCATGCATAATGCAGCTTTCAAAGTGCACAAGGAATCAGGAAAGAGCTACCAAGAAGGCATGAATTCATTTGAACTGATCTCGTGGTGGAAGTATGGTATTGTTGAAGGAAGCAACATCCGGGAAGCCTACAACAATTACACTGGTCTGAACATCAAAGGAGAACATGAAGAGCTTGTCAGGGCTAATCCTATTAAAGTTTTCAGAGCAAAAATCAATGAGAAAATTGACTTCAACAGGATGCTAAAGCAACAAAAGGAAAGGAATGACCAAGAACTCAAGGAAGCTGGACAACAGAAATCAAAGCTTTTAGAAATGTAAGTTAACTTTCGTTATGTTTCTCCTTATAAAGTTTTTGTAATGATTACATCTTTATATATGAAACTCTCATTGTCACACATCTCGTGTCACTTGTTTGAGTCACCTATCCTTGTCTCGCTTACTATCGCTTTAATCTAGAAAAAGACTTGTAAACTCTCAAGTATGGCTGTTTTTATAAAAAAAAAAAAAAAAAAAAAATCCTTATGGAACTTTTATCAGCCTTATAAGAAGAGTATAGGTTTTGGCATCATCAAAAAGGGGGAAATTGTTAGGAACATTGTATTAGGATTTTGATGATACCAATGTAATGTAGAAAAGTAAACCCCTAACCATTAGTTTTTTTAATCGCTGCTTTCGTCCTAGACGAAAGTTGCCATAACTCCACTGTAATTCGTGTTAAGCTAGACAAACACACGAAAATGAGTTATGACTAGATGTTAGGGTCTCCAAGGCGAAAGAAGACACGAGACATGAAGAACAACAACGAGAGTCAAGCAGGAGTTGTCAACAAGCACGAAAGGACAGTGTTTGTGAAAGACGATCTTTATCAAGCATTACTTCTCTTCAACAACGAAAACAATGTTTCACCTGTCTGATTTGACAACATCCTAGGACAATAAGGACTTCATCTTATGGGACACACTTTTCAAGAAGCATTAAATGAAGATGTACCATCTCTTGGAGCTAAAGGACAAAACCCCAATGCTTTCCATACCTTCAACGGCTACATGGTACAACCTCATTAATGGAGCATTTAATGCATGAAGCTCCCCGGTCCTTGTCCACTGGTTAAAAGGTTCGAAAATTTCATCTCCCTCCAACGGATGGATTTTCATCACCTATATAAACTCACCTTCATCAACTAAGAAGGTGCTGGTTCATTATCACTCAACTTACTCACTTACAAAAGCTCTTGAAAAGTCTACAATTTACTAAAAGCTTTTGTGAACCAGTTTTGAGGTGCTAAGTTACTTGAAGATTCTTTTGTCTTACACCTCAAGGAAGTCTTGACATTTATTTGAAGCAATCATATCTCAGAGTCAAGACCTCATCGTTGGAAAATTCAAGAAAACATTTTCTACCAACCTCAACTCAGGAGAAGAAGTTGATAGAGGCGGAGTAAACTCGAGGAGTTGAAAAACCTACGAAGGCTGTCCGCCTTAGTGATCAAGGAAGTCTTTGTGTATTTGTACTAAGAGTGATAGTGCAATCCTTCCAACTGTTGTGGAAGAAGAGTGGAGTAGGCAACATTGGCTGAACCACTATAAAATCTCGTGTCCTCTCTATCTCTTTACTTACGCTTTTCTTTTTGCTTTCATATCATTCCTTTATTATCGTTACCAAAAGTTTGTCTAATTACGCAAACTCGTGCAAAGTATCTAAAACAAATATATCTTATCCGCTGTGCCAAGACACCGAAAGGTGACGTTTAGGGCTTCTAACGAAAAGAGTCTATTCACCCCCCCCCCCCCCCCCCCTCTAGACTCTCATCTCATTCTATCGGGACCAACAATGTTGCATGGAGATTTCCCTTGAACCAAAAGATGCTCCATACGCCATCAATCTGATTTGGCTCAGGCACATTTGTCGGTATGGCCAAACTCCCCAATCTGCAATAGCACTAATTAAACTTGGCATAAATAATTATATTTGTATATGTACAGAAGAGCTGCGGGCGAGTAATCAGTCAAATAAAACTTTTCCCAAAATCAAGTAGGACATTCCTTGCCGCAGCCATTGTTCTCAATATAAACTTCACGTAGAATGCTAAAAAAAATGATCAAAATATTCTACCATATTATCATGCCTAAAGCCAATGGGACCAGAGCCAAATAGACCTTCGCAGACTCTTTTTATTTTTTTTCTCTACCATCAGGAATAGCTTCATACACAACTGGCTTCACTGATTTAATCCGAGTAATGTAGAGGGCTCGCCGCGACGACCGAAAACGTGGCTCCCCGTCCAGGAAGAGAAGAATAAATGAAAGGGAATAATTTTTTTTCTACCCAGCTAGGTGGCTCGCCGCGGTCCAACAGGAAGGATATTCGAGGAAGAGAGGCGGCCGAAGACCACCACGAAGAGACGACCTTAGCTTTTCCATCCGATCACCGAATTTTGGCCATTCGACGCATCTTGGGAGTGGATTGCAATACTTGGACGCTCTGATCGCCGGCGTCTCAGCCGATGGTCATCGATCGGAAGGCGGGAATGATTGCCAGCGATCAGATGGTTGATAGGAGGCCAATGATCGGATGGCTGATAGCTTGTCGCACGTTGGAGTGGATCTCGGCCACCGACGATGTAGAACGTGCGGTTGTGATTGCAGTTCGTTTTCTTCATCTCCTCCCTTCTCTCCTTCTCTCTGTGCTGGAAGTAGACGGCCAGTGCATCACCAGATCGGCCGATCGCGCCAGAGGTAGCGCTGGGATTTCGCGATCACAAGGCGATTGTAGAGAAAAGTACTGATAAGGTGTTGTAAAATCAAACAGCTGGGAGAAGAAAAATACAGAGAATGAAGAAGGATCTTCTCATTCATCGTCAATCATTCTTTTGGCAAGATACATATATAAAAGTAAGAGTAAATATGTACTAAATAGAAATAAGTATATCAGTTACAACCACAACTGTTACAAAGATGGATAATAATGTCCACAATCATATTTCTTTATAACACAAATTAATATATGAACTTGAGAAAAAGAAACAATTGAATTAATTTTACTTCTATAGCAAGTTAGCATCCAGTCAAAGCTTATTAGGATGGACTGTTAGAGTTTTTTTTAAAAAAATATTTTAAATACTTACTCATCTACTCCGTATTAAATTAGGAGTAAAATACATTTTTGGTCCTAAGACTTATAGTGGTACGGACAATTTTGGTCCTTCATAAAAAAAATTAGACAATTTGTGGACACTCTTATTGTGACGAGGACAATTTTGATCCTCCGTCACTTTTTCTGTTAGATGCCCCGTTTGAGGAGGGGTATTTGCATCTTTTCATCCTACATCCTTCTTCATCATCATCTGCTCTGCTTCTTTACTTACATACACCAATCACCCACAGCCGGAAAATCAAGGTCCAAGGTCCAAGGTCATTGGAGATGCTATTGTTCATCGTTGTTCAGTTTTTGCCGAATCCACTTGCTGCTACTGCGATGTTGGTCGTCCACTACTACACAGATGACCTTTAACGTCGGCTATTTAGACCCTTTAACGTCGGCTAAAAAGCGATGTTGTTGCAGGCGACGTTGTATGGTAAACATACAACGTCGGCTATATGAAAACCGACGTTGTAAATTTTTTTTAATAGTATACATACAACGTCGGTTATTTATTAATAACCGACGTTGTATGTATACTATTCGAATTTTTTTTTTTTAAACTAGTGTACAACGTCGGTTATTATGAAATAACCGACGTTGTAAAGTTTTATTTATTAAAAAAATAACCCTTCAACGTCTGTTATTTATTAATAACCGACGTTGTAGGGTCTATTAAATTAAAAAAAAAAATGAAATTGAACTTCTGAGGTGGTCCCACAATCATGAGTCCAAACCTTAAAAATGATACTTATTTAGCATTCATTACAAAATTAACTAACTTATATAATATAGAAAAACAGAACAGTAATAATATGGAGATGGATTCAGACAACAAAATAGTAATCACCCTCTCCTTACACTTCCAAATATCGCAACTGCAGATCTGCTAAGCTGCATACCCTTTATCATTTTACTTGGATCTCTCATGTAATTACCCACTTGCTGAATAATACTCTGCAATTAATATAAGATAACAAATGTGAAAAGCTTGTTCATTTTGCCACATACACATCATCCAAAATCCTCCAACCAAACCTGATTAAACGCATGCAATTTGCCTTTAAGTGCAGCAGCATCAGGGCCCTCCTCTGACTTGTCTCTAAACGAAGACATCCTTTCGATGAAAAAAAAAAGGGCATCATGGGTATTAACTTATGCAAAATAATAATCTATGAATAAACAGCAAATGATAAAAAAATTACTACAGAACTAACATCACGAGTGCACCATCAGGAATGTAAAATGAAATGAATGGCTGCAGTTTCTTATTTTATTTTTGTTTTAAATTAGAAAAAAAAAAAAAAGAATTGCTCCGAATAGATCATAAAGGGCAAAATTGCATCACAAAATTAATAAATTAATCATATATTGTTTTTACTATTCTGCTAATTACAGTTGATCCACATCAGTTTTGCATGTATACCGTCACCCCATTTCTTTCAAGAAGTAAGAACAAATTAGAAGTAACATAAATGATTTAGTAATGTTCCATCACTTCCATGGAAAGCAAGATGACTTGTTTTGTTCTGTAGTGACCATTGATATAAGACATGTAGTGACCAAGATCATGCATTAAACAGACTAAAAATATATTGATATGGTATAGAGCAGGCAGAAGCAGCATGAAAGATACCTTGAATGCATTTGGGTAATTTGCAATGTAACCATTCTTCATCACTTTTGCCAATGGATTGATGAGAAGCTTCTGAAACTTCAAAACCTATTGCATAATTAACATCCAGGACAAATATTTAGGAAACCAAGCATTGAATTAGAAAACCACAACCAGACCATACCAACTCCAAAAGTATAATCATAGGAAAAATAACGTCCTTCATAAGGTCAAAAAGATGTGTGTTGGGTCCAGGGAGGCGTACAAAAAGTGTTTAATGGAGAAAAATAATTGAAACTAATTGAACCAAGTTTATTAAAGCAACAATACTTACAATGCTAGAATCAATATGAACAATATGGGCATTTAAACTTACAGAATATGTGTAAGCCAGTCTCATACCAGTCTCCGTCATCATCTTTCCATGCAGCTACCTAGAAAACCAAAGATAGTTAATACTCCATACTATTACGATGACATCTAACATTCCAAGTAGACATTATTTCACGACCTATGCATTTAGGTTTAGCTCTAGTGATTCATGCAATGATGATTTTTAAGTATAATAGTTCATGAGAAAGAAGACGAGCATAAAGGGTGAGATAGTGAGAGTTACCATTTTGTTAGTGAGATAGAAGAAGAGAAGCAATAGTGTGATAGAGAGTCTCACCAACCTTTCCTCCCAGCACATCTCGTGCCTCCAGCAGTATTGGTTTGTGGCCCGCATCTGCTAAATATTTTGCAGTAGACAACCCAGCCAAACCTGCAAGCACCGAAATACGAAAACAAATTTCTTTGAATTCCTTTTTCTCCTTTCAAAGTTCGGTTATAAGATAGTTGTAAGATAGTAGAATGAAAGGAGCTTTCTACATTTCTTAGAGCATAGTGAGGGGTTGTTTCAACATAAAACTGAAGTGGAATAATCCCCCTAAACGTTCTAGTACAACAGAAGTAGCAAAGGAATAGCATTTCTTCAAAAACGCCAATAAGAAAATATAATTGAGACCGACTAAAAATTTACCGGCACCAGCAATAACAACTTCCAATGGTTTACTTGGACGTGGAGCTGAACAAAATGAAGAGGACAGGTAAGCATACATCTTGCTTACATCCACAAACTCCTTATCATACAATCTAGACAACTAAATTCCTATGTTTCAACTTGTAACAAGAACTAATGTATTAAGCATAAAAACAGATTCTTTACAGATAAACAATCTGGATTAGCTTGCTAAATCCACAACATCACCCTAAAACTCTAAAAAGTAAAGGGAAAAAAACACAACCTGCAGAGATAAACAGGGCACAAACACAAAATAGATCAAGATTAGTACTTTGAGACTCAAACCACAATTCCCAGTATTACAGAACCAACCAACAAAAGCTGAAACAAGAGCAATTGAAACCCAAACAAAACTATATAGAAAGATAGCTTCGATAATATTCACTTAATTATCTAGAAACATGGCAAGATGTTGTACCCATATTATCAATAAATCCTAAAATACAAATATATCAACATTATTTACTAAAATTCAAATTAAATTAATAGTAATTCGAAACATATTACAAATAAATCTTAAAATACAAGTATATCAATAGTTCCAAATATATAACCAATAACTTATAAAATTCAAAACATATACCTAACAATTCCTAAAATTCGAAATACATTAATAAATAATTTCAAATATAATTATTGTAATTTCAATATTTAGAAATTAAAATAATAATTTAAAAAAAAAAAAAAAAAAAAAAAAAAAAAAAAAAAAAACTACCAAAGGAGCGGGGTGCGGCGGAAGGCAGTGAGGCGGTGCAGCGCTTCGTCTGTGGGCGGCCGTGCGGCGGGAAGCTAGGCGGCTGTGGCTGTGGCTCGGCAGCGGAGGCGTCGAATAGAAGGTGCGGTGTGGCGGTGGCTGTGCGGTATGACGGTGGGCGATGGAGGAGCGAAACCGATGGTGGCCGGTGGCTGTGATGTTGGCGGTGGCGGGTTGCTGGCCGGCCGGTGGGCGCTGGGGAGAAGGGAAAAGGGGCTGCGGGCTGCGGAGAAGAGAAAAGGGGCGGTGGTGTGAAAATGATTTCAAACCACTCAGATCTATTTTTAAAACCCTATTTTAATTTTAATTTTTTTTTATAAAACCTATAACGTCGGCTATTAACAAATAGCCGACGTTAAAAATAAAATAAAAAAATAAATACACAATAAAATAACCTACGACGTCGGCTCTATAGATAGGCGACGTTGTATTGTATTTATTTTTTATTTTTTATTTTTTATTTATAACGTCGGCTATTTGTTAATAGCCGACGTTATAAGTTTTATTAAAAAAAATAAAAATTAAAATAGGCTTTAACGTCGGCTATTTGTTAATAGCCGACGTTATAGGTTTTATAAAAAAAATAAAAATTAAAATAGGCTTTTAACGTCGGCTAAGTATATAGCCGACGTTAAAGGCCCGACGTTATATGTGAATTCTGTAGTAGTGGTCGGAGGATGGAGACTAAGAGGGTGGGGGACGGTGGTGCTTATGTATATGTTGGTGTGTATAATTATATCTAGAGAAGAGAGAGAGAGAGAGACGTAAGAGAATAGAGATGAGAGAAAATTTGGGTAGAGCTATTAAGGATGTAGAGATGTGAGGGAGGGATGGAGATATATAAATTCTGGAAGTTTTCATATACATATGTAAGTATAACCAAGAGAGAGATGGAAAGCAATGCAATTGAAAACACCTTGTGGAATCTTTTTCTCTCTCTCTAGGCGCTTCTCTAGAGTTTCCCTCCATCACCTTTGCATGGTTTTTGTCTTCCGTTTTCTTTCTCTATCTTGTTTTTCTATTTGGCCATCATGGACGTCGGCCTTCTGACTAATCATTGTGCCATGGTTTCCATCGAGGATGAAAACCTCGGAATCTCTTTCGTCAATCAAGAAACTGAAGTTTAAGACCCCCAAAGTCAGGAGAACAAACCATGGGTTCTCGTGGGACGATTTCTAACGGACAGACCACTTAAAGCTGGAAATCATGCAACAAGTTATGGCTGCAGCCTGGAGACCAGTTATGGGAGTTCGCATCTCGGAGGCTCAGGCAGGCAGGTTCTTGTTCGAATTCCCAAACCAGAATGATGCCATGAGAGTACTAGGGGGTGGTCCCTGAGCGTTTGAAAACAACTCGTTGATTTGTGCGCGACTTGAGGATGGCGCTCAACCAGACACTGCTGAATTGAATCGTCTCCATATTTGGGTGCAGATCTTTGACTTATCCTATGGCTACACTACAGAGGCGGTTCTTGAACAAATTGGAAATGATTTAGGCGCTTTCATCAAGATAAGCATCATGGTTCGTTGGGAAGGTTTTATCGGATTCGCATCGCTCTGGACATCGAGAAATCCTTGTGTCATCGACTCAAACTCACCAAATGTGACGGAAATTGGGTTTAGATTAACTTTTGCTATGATGAAAGGGCTGCAAGAAGGAGGTAGGATGAAAAGACGGAAATACCCCTTCTCAAACGGGGCATTTAACGGGAAGAATGATGGAGGACCAAAATTGTCCTCGTCACAATAAGAGTGTCCACAAATTGTCTGATTTTTTTATGGAGGACCAAAATCGTCCGTGCCCGTCTAGGATCAAAAATGTCTTTTACTCTTAAATTATTTAATAAATAAGTTGGCATTCAAATCCGATCTTTCAAGATGAACATCTGTGATTAGGTCATAGTTCTCTTTAATGAGGAGTGGTTCTCTCTGACACGCGCGCGCACACACACACGCACAACATGTGTGTGTGCATGTGTGTGTGCATGTGTGTGAGAGAAGAGCCAATAATGGTAAGGTAATAATTGGTGTAATAATGTGAATTAATAACTTGTAAATTTTAATTTATTCCTTGTACAATAATAAGACATTTTCAAATCATCCACTTATATTTTCTCAAAATACTTTTTCGACCACACATTTCAAAATTATGATGCATATTATCATTATTAATAAATTAAGGTTTTAGGCAATTGGTGTACTAATAATAATGCAAATCATAAATGTATATTATCATCCACCGCCCGCCCACCGCTACGTATTGGCAAAATTGGCAAAATTGGCAAAATTCGCAGCCAGCAGCGCAAGGGCATTAGAAAATTAAGAGCACAAACTTATCCATAATTCTCTATGCCCATAGAAAATACTATATATATTATTATTCTTCCTAAACAATACTATATTATTATTATTATTATTATTATTATTATTATTATTATTATTATTATTATTATTATTATTATTATTATTATTATTATTATTATTATTATTATTATTATTATTATTATTATTATTATTATTATTATTATTATTAAGAATAGGGGTCAAATAGACAATCATTATTGTGTGAACCATAATCCATATAAGTTGTATGAACCATATTTTGTATATTGTAAAATAATGTACATTCAGTACAAAATAAAGTACTTTTAGTATATTAAAAATGTACATTGTATCGCGTAGATGTATATTATTTGTATACTGAGTGTACATTATATTGTATAATGACATTCAGTACACAAATAATGTACATTTAAGTATATTAAAAATGTACTTTTTGTTATGGTCAACACAATAATTTGCCTCAAACCGACCGTCCAACTGCACACAATAATGCAATTAGGCCACTAAATCTAAAAAAATTACAATTGGATCTCTAAACTAACCAATTTCTTACAATTAATTTAATTTGTACGTTTTTCAAGTTTCTAACAGGTCACCCCTAATAATAATAATAATAATAATAATAATAATAATAATAATATTATTATTATTATTATTATTATTATTATTATTATTATTATTATTATTATTATTAGAGAGTTAATCATATTTTTGTTTTAAATTTATTGGTGTAAGCATACTTTTAGCCTTTTAGGGGTGTATATTCAATCATTACTTTTGTAGAGTTTTAAAAACTTTTAAAATGATAGATTTTTTAAAAATTTTTGCTGACTTTCATATAATCATTCTAAACTTTTGTAAACTTTGTAAGAGTTTATAAAAGTTTATATAAAAAATATTTATAGACTTTAATTCACTTTTTTTATTTTAAAAAATCTACAAAAATAATTAAAAGTATAGAATGAGTTAACTACAGACATATAATTTTTGAATCATGGTTCACAATGCAATATGAACCCTAGTCCATGGTATAACCATTGCCACTCTAAAGCGTTTGGCACTTTGGCCCATTGTAGGCTTTATCCAATCATTATTCCGTGGACCGTGGACCACGATCCAAAAACAAATAAAGTACATTATTCTAACTCATAAAATACATTATTCTAACACATAACTAAAGTACATTATTCTAACTCATAAAATACATTATCTTATCCCATATATTTTATTATTCCAACACAAAAAGTACATTATTCATCTTTCTAACTCATAAAATACATTATTCTAACCCATAAAATAAATTATTTTATTCTAGAAATTTCATTATTCTACGGTCCTATGAGACTTTTTCGGGGCAGGATGTAAATTTCCATAAATCAAGTATATATTTCATTTAGCCACAACACTAGTGAAGAAGTGAATGAAGAAATAGCTGGAACTTTGGGGGTAAGCCAGGCTGAGGATTTTGGAAAATATTTGGGGCTACCCTCGGTTGTTGGAAAGAACATGAAGGTGGTTTTCGCCTATATTGAACCGAAATTAAAGTAGGTTTGGCCCTTGGAATAAAAAGGACTTTGGAAAATATTTGGGGCTACCCTCGGGTTGTTGGAAAGAACAGGAAGGTGGTTTTCGCCTATATTGAACCGAAATTAAAGTAGAGGTTTGGCCCTTGGAATAAAAAATTACTCTCTAAAGCAAGGAAGGAGGTGCTACTAAAGAGTGTGGCTCAGGCTATGCCTACCTATACCATGAGTGTCTTTCTTCTGCCTGAGACTTTGTGTATCTCACTGGAAAGATTGATGAACAAGTATTGGTGAGATAAGAGTAGCACTGAAAAAGGGATTCACTGGTTGGCTTGGGACAAGATGTGTGTGCCGAAAAAGTATGGGGGTTTGGGCTTTAAAAGGTTACATGAATTTAATTTAGCATTGCTTGGGGAAACAGGGGTAGCCTTTGCTTACCAACCCTGCATCCCTTATGGTTGGTGTTTTCAAGGCAAAATATTTTTCAAAGACATCTTTCTTAGAAGCCACACTGGGTGGTTGCCCCAGTTATGTATAGAGGAGCATTATGGCTAGTCAGATGTTAATTCGTGCAGGATGCAGGCGCAGGGTTGGGGATGGTAGGTCTACTAAAGTTTGGTTGCACCCATGGCTACCGGACCCTCAGGACCCCTATGTTCGGAGTACCCCCACTGACACTACTCGGGATTTATGGGTTTCTGATCTTATCTACCCTGTCTCAAATAAGTGGAAACAGGAATTTATTCATCAGTTGTTTGAGCCTAGAGATGCCAACCTTATTATTCAGATCCTAGCTAATGTTGATTATGAGGATATTTGGTTTTTGGTTTGGAGATACTAGAGGTTGTTACTCTGTGAAGGATGGTTACAAGGGTCTAGGCTTAATAACGACCCTTCTTAGTACTGTCTGGAATAATGTATGGAAGCTTCAGGTCCCCCTAAGTGGAAATCCTTCCTTTGGAGAACACTCTCCTCCATTCTACCCACTGCCACAAATTTGATAAAAAAGAGGGTAGAAGTCTCATATTTATGCCCATCTTGTGGTTTAGGGGTGGAGGATGTCATGTATGGGATGTTTCAAATTTGCCAATTCTTCCTATTAACGGTGATGATTTTATGCAGTGGGTGGCTTCTTGGTTGGACAACTTAGCTGGTGGATAATGTGAGACGAAGGGGAAAATATGTGGGCTTTTGCATGAATTGTGGAAAGCTAGAAACCATGCCGTTTGGGATGTTTTTTTGTCGACTCCTGCCGCCGTATGCCGTAGCTTCCACCTCAGCTGGAATGCGTGGAAGACGGCAAATTATGCCCTGGAAACGTGTTCACCGTGAATGGTGAACACAAGGCCAAACGACGTCGTTTTTAGACAAAAAAAAAAAAATCGCGGATGTGGAGTTAACGGCGCGCGTTGATCAAATTATGAATTTTCTGTTATGAGATTATCTCATAACAGAAAATTCATAATCGCATAACAGAAAATTCATAATTTCATAACAGAAAATTCATAATCTCATAACAGAAAATTCATAATCTTATAACAGAAAATTCATAATCTTATAAATAGAAAATTCATAATCTTATAAATAGAAAATTCATAATCTCATGGTTCCAAAGTGAATGTGTAGGCATGGTTCCAAAGTGAATGTGCAGGCATGGATTCATATTTTATGAATGTCCGTGATTTCGGACGGGAATGTGTAGGCATGGTTCCAAAGTGAATGTTCATAATCTCATAACAGAAAATTCATAATCGCATAACAGAAAATTCATAATCTCATAACAGAAAATTCATAATCTCATAACAGAAAATTCATAATCTCATAACTGAAAATTCATAATCTCATAACAGAAAATTCATAATCTCATGGTTCCAAAGTGAATGTGTAGGCATGGTTCCAAAGTGAATGTGCAGGCATGGATTCATAATTTATGAATGTCCGTGATTTCGGACGGGAATGTGTAGGCATGGTTCCAAAGTGAATGTGCAGGTATGAATTCATAATTTATGAATGTCCGAAATCATTGTTCACCTCAAATTAAAGTGAAACCGCAAAATGTGAAAATGAAGAAGAAAAGTCACGCAATTAATTAAAAAAAAAAAAGAGATAACGGTGTACTAACACCGTTGGAACCGTGTTCGCCATGAATGGTGAACACGGTTCCATGGCATAACGCTCCGTGGAAGACTAGTACAACAGCACGCCATACTGCCCCGCATCCCCAGTCGGGCTCAACTGCTTTAATCAGCACGTAGCAGCCAACTGACGAGGTCTTATGCTACGTCGATGCCGGGTTCCACAAACCACACAATGCAGCAACGTTTGGTTTCATAGTCCAAGGGCATGATGGTTCATTTATAGCAGCAGCACATGGTCCACTTCTTTGCCCAC